TCCCCCCCTCAGTTTCCAGCGCTGCCTGGAGCTGCTGGTGGCCGCCCTGGCCCGGCCGGACTCGCGCCTTTCCCTCTTGGTGGCCACGCACAACGAGGGCTCCGTGCTGAGCGCCCTGGGCAGGTGGGACACGGGCACCGAGGGGTTAAATAAGGGCGGGGAATTCGGGGGGTTAGGGATTGTTTTAAAAATTATTTTTGGGGGATTATTTGGGGATTTTTTGGGGATTTTTTGGGATTTTTTTGGGATTTTTTGGGTGATTTTTGGTGATTTTTTGGTGATTTTTTGTGAATTTTTGTGATTTTTTGGGGATTTTTTGGGGATTTTTTTGGGATTTTTTTTTGTGATTTTTTGTGATTTTTTAATGATTTTTTGGTGATTTTTTGGTGATTTTTTGGTGATTTTTGGGTGGATTTTTTGTGATTTTTTCGTGAATTTTTGGTGAATTTTTGGTGATTTTTTTGTTAATTTTTTGGTGATTTTTTGGTGATTGTTTGTGGGTTTTTTTGTGATTTTTTGGGGATTTTTTGGGTAATTTTTGGTGATTTTTATGTGATTTTTTCGTGAATTTTTGGTGATTTTTATGTGATTTTTTCGTGAATTTTTGGTGATTTTTTTTTTGTGATTTTTTGTGATTTTTTTGTGATATTTTTTGTGATTTTTAGGTGATTTTTTGGGTGATTTTTAGGTGATTTTTGGTAATTTTTTGGTGATTTTTATGTGATTTTTTCGTGAATTTTTGGTGAATTTTTGGTGATTTTTTGTGATTTTTTTGTGATTTTTTTTGTGATTTTTTTTGAGATTTTTTGGTGATTTTTTGTGAATTTTTTGGTGTTTTTTGGTGATTTTTTTTAATTTTTGTGATTTTTTGGTGATTTTTTGGGTGATTTTTTGGTGATTTTTATGTGATTTTTTTCCGTGAATTTTTGGTGATTTTTTGGTGATTTTTTTGGTGACTTTTTGTGATTTTTGGTGATTTTTTGGTGAATTTTTGGTGATTTTTTGTGATTTTTTTGGTGATTTTTTTGGTGATTTTTGGGGTGATTTTTGGTGATTGTTTTGGTGATTTTTTGGTAATTTTTTGTGATTTTTATGTGATTTTTTGGTTAATTTTGGGTGATTTTTTCGTGATTTTTTTCGTGATTTTTTGTGTGGATTTTTTGGTGATTTTTTGGTGATTTTTGGGGTGATTTTTTGGTGATTTTTTGTGATTTTTGCTCGGTGTTTGGTGATTTTTTTGTGGATATTTAGTGGGTTTTTGGTGATTTTTTGGTGATTTTTTGGTGATTTTTTGTGATTTTTGTGGAGTATTGTCGTGATTTTTTTGGAATGTTTTTTTCTGATTTTTCGTGGATTTTTTGGTAATTTTTTCGTGATTTTTCGTTGATTTATTGATGATTTTTTGCGTGATTTTTTCCTGATTGTTTTGGTGGGTCTTTTGTGATTTTTTTTTTTTGTGATTTTTTGTGATTTTTTTGTGATTTTAAAAATTATTTTTTCGTGATTTTTGGGTGAATTTTTGGTGATTTTTTCCTGATTTTTTTGTGATTATTTTGCTGGGTTTTTTTGGTGAATTTTTTGTGGGTTTTTGTGGGTTTTTGTGATTCTTTTCGGTGATTATTACTTTTTTTGTGATTTTTTTTGTGGATTTTTGGTGATTTTTGGGGTGAATTTTGGGTTAAATTATAGTGAATTTTGGGTGAATTTTTGGCCAATTTTGGGTCAATTTT